AGTTTATCAATTTAGAAGGCTACTCTAAAAATTAACTATATGACATTTTATTAATAAAGAACCTTTTTTGAGAATGAATTTTTTTTAGACCCATATTCCAATCCTATTCATTTATATCTATTTAAATCAATCTATAAATTTCAGTTCGACTTATAACTTTTGAAATAACCCTTTTTTTTGCATATCTATTTAAATGAGTTAGTATATAAAAATATCAAATTTCAAAGAGTTTAATGGCTATCCTCTCTAATTTGTTATATTTTTTTTTCTACTTTTTTATAAGATCCCCAATCCTATTGATAAATATGTTTATTAAATTACTGTATTATATATAAATGTTGAATCAAATACTTAAATCTCAAGCTTGATATTTAGATATTTAATAAATTTAAAAAGTATTCTTTAAGATTCTCGAATATGAATAATCACTTTATGCTTTTTTGAGATAAATTCTTATAATTTTTCCTGATATTATTCTTGCTAAAGAATTAACACTTGAACTTATTTCATTATAAATTTTACAAAATATATAATAATAAAAATTAAAATATATTGACACAATTAATTATCTCAAGAGTAATAAAGAAATCATCACTTGAAGTTAATATGCAAATTTTTTAACATTATGATGAATACTATGTTTAAATAAGTATTTGTTTAGGTTCTGAATACCCTAATAAATTAGTTAAAAAATAGAGAATATACTAAATGCATATTAGATATATCATGTATTAAGATATTTATTTAAATTAATAATTTAACTCACATTTACTAATATATCTTATATTAATATACCTGATTTTACTAATAACAATTTAATTTATCAATTATTCATTATTAATACATTTAAACAAATCTACATTATTATTCATATTCTTGTGTTATAATATAGAATTTGTATTAGATCAGAATTTTCCTTAACTATCATTGGTTATAATTAAATTTGATACTTCAAAAGTTGAATTATCAATATTATATAATCAGCTTCTTTGCTAAATAACCTTTTAGACAACAAATAATTAATATTTATCTATAACCTATGTGCTAGGAATCATAATGATATCAGTTAATTTTCATATTCCTTATTCTATAACTTTATAAGGTTTTATTGTTAGAATACTAGTTGAAATACTATTATTGATTTTTAGATCAAGAGCACGGTGGCTTTTTGAATTAATTTATAGTTGCTAATAACAAGAATTTACTACTAAATTATTGCCATATACTTAAGTATTATTGAAAATAAGAAAGTAGAAATAAAAGTTATAATGGATTCTATTTTGAGTATTAATACTTAAGCTTCTACCTATGCTTTCAATTCTTTCCTAAAAATGGTTCTTATAAAATATAATTCCAAGACTCTTCTTATTTCTTCTAATTACATTTAGCATATATAGCATACAATTTTGTTAATAATAATCATTA